CCCACTGGGAACTCCATAGCCCGGTCAGAAGCCCCACATCCATGGTAGGGAACGCCACGTCCCCGACGGGAAGCCCTGCCACCTGGATCAGGTAGCCACGTCACTGTCGGGGACCCTCTCAGCCCCATCAGGGGTCCCCCCACACTATTCGGGGAACCCCACGCTGCTGGTCTGCACATCTCTTGCCCCAGTCGGAAGTCGGGTGGGCGTAGGGGTGCTGCCACGCTCAGGCCAGGAGCCCTGGGACCCAGCGACTCCGTCTGTGCCCTCCCCTCGTCAGGGTCCTATTGGCTCATCCTGGGTCCAGGACCCCGACCCTAACAGGCTGCCCCCTCCTGCACAGTGAGGAGGGTGGGCTCCTCCTAGAGCAGTGGTCCCGGTGGCAACCGGGGCCAGGCTCGGGCAGGTAAGAGTGCGGAGCGGGGCCTGCTGGTGGGCGCTGACCTTGACGACGGCCGAGTAGGTGCACTTGACGGCGGGCGTGTCGAAGCACGGGAAGAAGGAACGGTTGCAGACGGAGTGGCCCTGGGTGAAGACGAAGGGCTTGGCACTGCCGTAGGTCAGCTCTGGGTCCAGCCACCAGATCTGCAGCGGGCGGTGGGCAGGGTATCAGCCGACGACCCTGGGCTCTGGCCCTTGACGCCCTCCCCATCACGTGGGCTGAGGCCTCCTGGAGACCAGGGCTGCTGGCTGACGGCCCTCACTGTACCCGTGAGGCGGGGGCACCTGAGGCACACAGGGAATGGGGGGAGCCTGGGGGCCCTGCCCCACAGAGAGCAGCACGTGGGGACGCCAGAACACCCCTCCCTGCCAGCCCAGCCTTGATTCCTGAAAGCTAGGCAGAGTTTCTGGAGAGGACAAGGCCTTGGGAAGTGGGCCCCAACCCCCCTGTCCTGCTCAGGCTTCCAGGCCCAGGGCTGCTGGGGCAGCGGCTGGAGAGGGAGGGCATGAGGAAGGGCCCAGGAGGGGATGGCCCGACTGGGCTCGTCCAGGGCCAACAGCAGCTCCTGGGCACCATCGCTTGCCCACCCTGGGCAGGCAGGGCGGCTGACACAGAGTGTGGCCTGTGCTTCGCCACCAGGGCCAGGCCTCTCTCCAGGTGGGAGGCCAGGCACTCAGGGAGTCCCCCAGCCTGTGCCCCTCACACCAGCTGCCAGAGGGAAACTGAGACGGTCAGAGCACCTGAGTCCAATTCTCACAGGCAGGCGCGAACCCGGTCTCAGCAGGGAAGGGGAGCCGGGAATGTGGACGTGTGGGGAGAGCAGTGCTTCCTGGTGACCCCCACGTGCGCCTGAGCCCAGGGCCACCCCTGGAAATGGGGCAGCCTCACAGGGAGGGATCCCCCACGGGGAGAAGGGCTCCCGGCCAGGGCCCGTGGGCAGGGAGCTCAGGCTGGGCTCTCAGAGAGGACGCGTGGTACAGGAGCAGCCCGGGGGGAGGGCCGCTGGGGCCACGGCCGGAGCACTGTGGACAGACCCCGCAGCGGCCACCAGCGCCCAGCCACCCACCTCCCGGGCGGGGCGGCACTGGTGGGTGCCTCGCTCATCTGCAGGATGGACGGGGACCTCCGCACAGGACCTGACACCACACACGGTGTCCTCGGGAAGGGCAGCCATCGGGGGTGGGCGTGGGCTCAGGGCAGGAGTGGGAAGGATGCCCTTCAGGGCTTCTGCGCAAGGAAACGGCCCCTGCCTGGAAGATGCCTCCACCGCACAGTGCCGGTGGCCCAGGGAGGCCACGGGGGGCCGAGGATGGGGGTGCTCTTTGGTGCCGTGCCGCCTACCTGCTTCCACGCCTGCCAGACACTGTCGCCCTCTCAGCCAACCTCCCCCCAGATGCCAAGGCCAGGCCCCACCCCCACTAGGGAGCCCTCCCTCGCACCCTCGTGCCCACCACTGCCCCCAGCCTCCCTAGGGCCATTTCAAGACACCCCCTCTCAACTCCGGCCAAACATTCCAGGGTCTCCAGGAAGGTCAGCACGGAGCCTGGGGGAGCTCCCCCAACCCAACCGCAGTCATTCTGTGGGGCCCCAAATCTGTTCTCACGCCCCCTCTGCTGGGACGACACGATCATGGAAGCCAACTGGACTGTTCCGTGTCCCCACTTCAGTGACCAAGCGCACGCAGGTTCTCCCAGGGCCATTATGGAAGGACCCTAGCCCCCTGCAAGTGACAGGTCTGAGCAAACCACAGCTGATGGTATCCATAGTTGCTTGCCACTGGGAGTTGTCCATGCTGAGACCACAGAGGTGGAGGACCCCAGACCCAGTGGGGCTCCCTACCCCACAAACCCCAGACCCCAGACCCAGGAGGGGGCTGCCTCTCCTGCAGACCCCAGATCTTAGCAGATGCCCGGGCTCGGCAGGGCTGCCTATCCAGTTCCTGCAGACCCAGCCAGACCCCTGTCAACGTTCACGGACGTCTTCAAAACTTCCTTCGGGCCGCTATGTCTCTGTCCTCTCACGGTGAGGAGTGTGCAGTGGTATCTTCCTTCTCTGCTGACCCCTAGGGCTGCCCCAGATGTTTAGAAGGCCTGTCTGGGGAGCCTGTTCAAAAATGCAGACTCCTGGGCCCTGCCAGAGCTTCCTGGGGCTGGGACCCAGGAATCTGCATTTAATGAGACTCCCCCCGCAGTGCTTCTGCAGGTAGCCCTTGGCTCATGCTGGGGACAGGCCCCCGTGGTCAGGCTGCTGGGGATACGGTCAGGCCAGCGAGGGTGGCCTGTTATGGGCCCTAGTCCCACCACTCTGCCAGTCTTGGGTGGACCAGACACATGAGCTCCAAGTTCACAGATCAAGGTCCGGGAGGATCATACCCCTTTGTTCTCGCGGCTGTGGTGGGAGGCATACGTGCCGCTGTCTGAGATCCAGGCTACCCCAGCAGGTGCCAACCCAGCAGGCCAGGGGCCAGGCCAGCACACCCACGGAAGCTCACAAAGGAGGTGAGGTGGCAGCTGAGAGCTCCTGGGAATCATGCAGGAAGCCCATAGGTGTGTGTCTGCTCTAGGCTCTTCCTGTCCAGATGTCACCTTGATGGCTCCTGACCTGGTGCCTCTGTGCCACCTGTGCTTCACCATATCCATTTACATGCCGTGGGCGCTGACACATGGAAACTTCCGGGGCCTCCCAGAGCTACGTGTATGCTGTGTGTGTGTGTTTGGAGGGAGAGCAGTGTCACAAGTGTGCTGTCCACGTGGAGACCCAGGAACCCCCATGCTTCCAGAACGGAAGGCCCTGCTCCATCCTGAAAGCCCTCCTATGGTGGAGGGGTGCTGCAGCACCAGCACCCAGCCTGGGCCACGCAGCCTTCCTGCTGAGCCCCTGGGGCGGCAGATGCTCCACGTCCAAAGCCCTGCAGAGCCTACGTGTGTCTGTGTTGGGGACACAGGGCAACCCTGCCGCCGCACCCGCCAGTCCCCACGGGGCCTGAAGCATTAGAGCCAACCCGGGCCTCTCCGCCTCCCACTCCGGCAGGTCCGTCCCTCTTGCCACTTCCAGGGAACAGTCCTCTGAAGGCCAGGTCACACGGAGGCCCTTCCACATCTGACACTGCCTGGCCTGCTTCTCAGTGCCAGGCTCCCTCAGATGTATGGCTTGGCGTGTGCTCACCAGAAGCTGTCCCTGTCCCCAGGCAGGGACAGCCCCTGCACACCTGAAAGGAGAGGCTTCCCGTGGTGGCATGCTGTCCCCTGTCCCCACGGTCCAGGGCCAGCACCCAGGCTCTCGCTCGGTCCAAGGTTCCTAAGGGCTCCCCGGGCACCAGCTGGGAAGCACTGCAGGCACCTGGCCAGGACTCCGGAGCCAGGTGGGGAAGTGCCAGGCCGGCCCCATCTCTCCGCAGGTGCCTCAGGCGCAGAGCCCACATTAACGCCCCCCTAGCCTGACGGCAGCGCGGGGAGACACCGCCTGGAAACGACCCGGCGACCAGCCCACCGCCCCAGCGCCCACCCGGCGGGGGGGGGGGACTCACGGCGGGGGCGTCGGTCGAGGTGTAGCGCAGGATGACCTGGAAGGGCTGGTGCGCCTGCAGTTCAGGCGGCAGCGTGACGGTGAGCGAGGAGCCGTAGTCCGTGAAAGGGTCCACCCTGAAGGCCAGCGGGCAGCATGCGGGCTCCGCGCCGGGCGCCTCGGGGAAGGCGGGCAGCGGGGGCGGCGGCGCGGGACTCGGCCCGGGTGCAGCGAAGGCGAAGGCGCAGGGTGGCTCGCCGGCGGCGGCGGGAGCGCGGCGGAAGGCGGCCGAATGCAGGCGCAGGGCCGGGTGCGCGTCGAGCACGAGCGCGCGGGGCGCGGGGCGCCGCGCGCACAGCTCGAGCACCAGGCAGCCGGCCAGCTCGCGCGCCTCGGGCCGCAGCTCCAGGCCCAGCTGCAGGTGGCGGAGGCGGAAGAGCTGCGCGCTGGAGGCCGAGGCCACGTCCAGGGCGGGCGGCGGCTCGGGCGGCGGACGCGCGGGCGCGGCCTCGGCGCCGGGCGCTTTGCGGCAGCAGCACTGCGCCGCCATGGCCGCCGCGCTAGGTGAAATCCATGGGCGGCGGCCGCGCCGGGCCGCGGGGAGCGGGTGAGGGGCGGCGGCGGCGGCGACGGCGACGGCGGCGGCGGCGGGGCGAGGGCACAACAGGAAGTCGCGCCGGGAGCCGCCCGGCCCGGCCCCGCGCCGTGCGCCGCCCCGCTCGGGCTCCGCTCGGCCGCCGCCGGGGGCGCTGTGCGCGGGGAGACCGGGTAGCCGGGGGCGCAGTGAGCGGGGGCGCTGTGAACCGGGAGACCGAGTAGCCGAGAGCGGGGCTAGGACCGCGAGCCCGGGGCGCTGTGCGGGGCGGGGGGACAGCGGAGCCGGGGGCGCTGTGTTGGGGCCGCGGACGCTGTGCCAGGGATGAGGCCGAGAGCCGGGTGCGGTGCATGGGGCTGCGGCTGCCGTGTGCAGGTGGCCGGGGCACTGTGCTGGGGGGTGGGGAAAGCGGGAGCCGGGGGTGAGGGGCGGGACGCTGTGTGCTCGGGGTCCGGGGCGCGCCGGGCGGAGGAGTGGCCCTGCGGTCTCCCCACCCCTTTGCGCTTCCTACCCGGCTCGCGTCTGGGAGACCCCGGGAGTCAGGATGCCCGATCCCTCAGCGATGCTGCGGGCCAGGTTCCTGGGGCAGCGACTGCTGGGACACCTGGGTCAGGGAAGCTGGGAAGTGTGGCGTCTGGAACTCAGTGTTATTCGTCCATTCGGGAACCTCTGGTCCCGGGGAATGATGGAATGATGGAATGATTTCCATACACCCGACCCACTCCCCTGTGAGACCAGTGGTCTGTGTTACGTGCCATATGGTACATGGCGGTGCTCAAGAATCTTAAGGCTGTGCTGTCAGATTATTGTAGCTATTTAGATTTAAATTAAATTAGAAGTTCAGTGTCTCAGTTGCACTAGCCGTATTTCAAGGTCTCCGTGTGTGTTTGGAGGATAGTGTCTGGCTAGTGGTAGCCATCCTCGACAGAGCAGATATCCCATCATTGTAGAAAGTTGTGCTGGACAGTGCTGCCTTAAGGCCTGTTGGGGCCCTGGAGGAAGATTGTATAGGTGAGTGCTGGGCAGTAACAGGACCTGGCCTGCCTGTCCCCATTCCACCTCTCCCAGGCCTGTCCAGAGACTTAGGCCCAGAGGGGATGCCTGCAGACCAGCGAGGGTGCTCAAAGAGCTAGCATCAGGGGGATCTCGAAGCCATGGAACCAGAGGGGCCACCAAGATGTTGCTGTCATCATCGCGTAAGAAGTCAGACCCTTAGGGAGAAGGGGCTTTTTGGCCTGGAATCCCACCCACCTCTCTCCCCTGATCAGTCTCCCTGTGGCAAAGTTGGGGCCTGACTCACAATGCACTTGACCTCGATGGCGTCCCCGAGTAGCGTTTGATCCTTCAGGGTTCAGTATCCCAATCTGTCACCCATGTGATCCTGCCTGCCCTCCTCCCCGGGTGGGGGGCTGGGTGGGAAGGACGGCTGAGTGGGAGGACACATGTTCACTGATTCAGAGCACCTGCACTGAGGCATCTCTTCAGTTTTTCCTATGTGCCATCTTAGCTGGGGGGACACAATCTCCTTGTCGGGGCCCCACCCCAAACTCGCCAGTCACCTGGAGGAGGGGTTTCAGTCCTGCGTCCGAGACTCAAGAGGGAAGAGAACTGGGGTCTGATCAGTCCTCGAGGCCTTCGGGTGGCCCAGCGCCTGCCCAGGTGCCAAGGGCAGAGTGCTTTAGATGGTACTCCCAGTTTGACCAGCCTTTGGGGGGGCCGGTGGGGCTGGAGTCAGAAGACCTTCAAGAGGGCTGTGTGTGGGCACCCACACTAGCCTGCCCTAGGGACCCGCAGGCAGGTCTACCAGCCACCTGCACACTCAGGGTAAGTTAACATCAGGGGGCTTCTCGCCCTCCTGGTCCCCTGGACTTGGGTGAGCAGGGATTGGGTCTCATCCCTTCTCTCCTGGGCACCTCCCAGCGGCCAGTTCTGCACACGGAAGCGGTGGAATGGGGCAGTCCTGCAGGTCCAGAGGAGCTGTTACCACTTCTGCCCACCCACCCCCAGCGGGGGCGGTGCCTTCCACCCCACATTTTTTTTTTTTTTTTTTTGGCACGCGGGCCCCTCACCGCTGTGGCCTCTCCTGCTGTGGAACACAGGCTCCGCATGAGCAGGCCCAGCGGCCATGGCTCACGGGCCCAGCCGCTCTGCGGCATGTGGGATCCTCCCGGACCGGGGCACGAACCCACGTCCCCTGCATCGGCAGGCGGACTCCCAACCACTGCGCCACCAGGGAAGCCCCACCCCACATTTTTGTAAGGAACCAACACAAGCCAGTCTTACGGGAGCAAACAGACCTGTTCTATGGTATTAAAGGCAGCCCACCAAGGCACTGTGCGGGCCACAGGGGTCGTGTCCACTCTCCACCCTGTCCCTGTCCTGCAGAGGACAGCGCCTTCAGTGCTGGGGGACGGGGGCACTGCCTGCTGACAAAGGTCCAGGGTGGCTGCAGCGTAGTCCTCCTGTCACCCCACCCCAAACCACTTAGGGGAGAGGAACCTGAAAGCCGGGACTGCTAGAGGCTGGGGCTTCTCCCATAGGAATTTTCATACACCAGCCTTTTGATGATCAAATGCTGGCTGGCTTGGGTGGGCTGATGCAGCTGACACTCTGCCTGCACCCCAGCTCTCCCCTGATGCACGTGGACTAGGTACCCCTATTCAAGTGCGCCGGCACTGGGAGGGGAGTGGGTCCCTGGCCTCACTTGCCAGCAGGTGGACACGGAGGCAGGAGGGCTTCCAGGAAGCCTGTGGTGTTCAGCTGGGGGCTGTGTTGTCCCTGGGTCAGAGGTCCTAGGGATACCTGGGCCTCTGGTGGCAGCCGAAGCTGGATGGTTCTCAGAATGGAGCTGGTGGGACAAAAGGCTGATGGGACCCACAGATGTCCTTCAGCCTGGCCCGGGCTCTGACATCCTGGCAGCCCTGTCACCCAGGACCAGGTCAGCAGGTGAGGGGGTGTACCAGCAAGGATGTCATGAGCACACGGGGTAGAAACGTGGGCTCAGGTCCTGGCTCCTGACCTCCTAGCTGGGCAAACCGCTCAGCTCACCTGAGGTTACAGACGGAGCCACCGGAGCCTCACCTGCCACGTGGAGGCAACAGCAGGAGCTTGTTTATGGGGTTGATGAAAAGTGACACGAGCTATGAGGGGCTTGTGGCGAGTAAGTGGCAGCTGGCAAGCTTCCAAAGCTGTGTGAAAGTCGGGTGAGCCACGGAGAGCTGCATTTGGGTTATGACGAGGGCTGTGGCTCTTGGACGTGGGGGCTGCTGACTGGTGACATCGCACCGGGCTGGGTGCTGACCTGCAGGGTGTGGTGTGTGCTCTGAGCCAGGGACCGTCACAGCTGGAAGCCCAGATGTGCAAGAGGGTCGGGAGGAGGAAGACCCTTTCCCAACCGCCCCAGTGCGTCACTCGCAGAGTGTGAGCTTCCCATCCCCACAGCTTTGGGCTCTGCTGGGTCAGAGGCCTTCATCTGCAGGTAGGATGCTTCCATGTGGGGACACAGCTGGACAGGAGGCTGAGACACCACTTCACCATCTGGGCTCCACAAGCCTCAAATCGGGAGTTGCTCTGCTGGGTGAGGTGACTGATCGCACCATGCAGCTTGCAGGATCTTAGTTCCCTGACCAGGGATTGAACCTGGGTCCCAGGAGTGAAGGCACCGACTCCTAACCACTGGACCGCCAGGGAATTCCCTGATCCTGACTTTCAAGGGGCAGCAGGGCTTTGGTGCTGCTCAGGGGGGCCAGGAGGAGTATGCTGGAACTCAGGGCATTCTCCTGATGCCACCCACTACTCCTTGGTTGTATTGCAGAGGTCACAGAGGCCAGAGCGCCAGTGCAGGCAGGACCACTCAGGGCTCATCAGACACCCGACTAGGAAAGACCAGGCCCTGAGGCATTGGCTGAGGGTCAAGGAAAATGATAAACGTCAACTACAGTATTTTATTCATAACCTTGTTATGTATATATTTGTATATTAACCAGGAATTATGTTATCTGTAACTCATATGTGTTACCCAATTTTTCCTTTACTCTTTCCCCACTATCTTATTTAAGGAGTGTTGGTGATTAGTCTTCCAGTATAGTCTTTAGGCTGTAGTGTGTCCAGGCGGGGTGCCTCTGAACCAGAAGAGGAACCAACAGGCTCAGAGACATGGGTGGTCATTGCATTGTTGACATGACCTTGGCTGCAGGATGTTAGGCTGGGACTCATTGCTGTTGCTGAAACTGGGAGGCCAGTAAGGTAGGAGGTGGGTACGGACACTGAGACCCCCAAGGGTGCCCACATTGGGTGGTCTGTCACACAGCCTCGAGCCCTCACTACGTGTCACAGCAGCTACAAGTCTGGAAACTGGGCCCGCACCACCTGAATCGCATGTTGCGTTTTGTGATGGGGCCAGTGTGAGGTTTGGGAAAGCCACTGTGGCTTGAGCAGGTGGCAGGCATGAGGTTCTGCCAGCAGCCCCCCAGAAGCCCCCCACATCAGAGTGGCGGGTCTCCATGACTCCTGTACTTCCCCATCTCCTGACCTTGGCTCCCTGGCCTCCATCTCTCTGTAGTAAATGTGTTTCTGGCTAGAATTCCTCAAGTGGTTTTGATGTTCCTGACCAAGCTCTGTCTAATAAACCTGCTGACGAGGGGCGGTACGGTTCTCAGTTCTCTCCTCGGCGGACACACCCCAGCCCTACCGTCAAGGCGGGATAGAGACCTTCAGGAAGTTGCAGAAAATAAAAAATCCGTGGGACGTGAGGCAGGAGAGGACAGACCACCCCCCAGTCAGTGCACGAACTACCTCTTCCCACCCCGAGGCTGCAGGAAACTCCAAGCGCCCCGCTTTGGGGTTGGGCCGTCCTCAAGGGCTGACCCATTAGGGCTCAGTCGGGCCCGAGGGCTCCCCGGGCAGGCGGGACCACGACTGCAGGGCCTCCTCGTACTTCTGGAGCTGGGACCAGAAGCCCGGGTTGGGCTCGGCCACCGGGCGGGCGCTCTTCACAGTCTGCAAACGAGAGGCTTTGGCTAGACACCGCGCAGCGTCGGCTGCAAGCTCCGCTGGCATTCCCAACGCCCGGAGGCCCCGCCCCAACGAGCGGGCCCTCCTCGAAACCCCGCCCCCACGGGCGGGCCCCCGCCCCTGCCTAGAGCCTCGCCCCTCCCAGAAGGCCCCGCCTCTTCCCGCCGGAAGCCCCGCCACGAGAAAGTCCCGCCCTACCTGGAAGGCCCGCTCCCGCGTGAGGCCGCGATGACGCATGAGGTAGGCGGTGCAGACGGCGGCCGAGCGGCTGCGGCCGTTCTTGCAGTAGACGAGGCAGGCACCACCGGCGCGTACCGCGGCCTCCATGGCGGCACAGGTAGGCTCCAGGTGCGCCAGCAGGTCCTCAGCCGGGTCGTCGAATACGGGCACGCGCAGCTCGGTCACGCCGGGCGCGCGGGGGCCGGGCTGCTGGCGCGAAACGTTGACGCATAGGGTGACGCCCGCGCGCTCCAGCAGCTCCGGGGCGGCCGCGGCCTTCGCGCTCCCGAGGAAGAGCGAGGGGGCGACGCGCACGAACGGCGGCGGGGCGGCCTTGGTGGCCCCGCGGCGTCCGGCTTGCTCCGCGTCCATGACCGGCTCTCGGGCCCCCAGCACGGGTGTCTATTTTGGGCCGTCGGGAGGCCGGCCGGGCGCCCCCGGGTCCTAGAGGCCCCCGGGGTGGGCCCTGTAGTGGTTGTGCACGAGCGGGCACGCCCGCAAAGCCCTGGCCGCTTCCTCATTGGTCAGGTCTAAACGGGAGAGGCCTCCTCTGATTGGCTGAGGCTGGGGGTTGCGGCCGTTGGCTGGCCTGGTGGCCATCGGAAGAGTCTGATTGGCCGCAGTGAGGTGGGCGGGTTCGGGTTGCTGGGAGGAATGGGCCTCCCCTCGCTGGATACCAGAGCCCCGCAGGTTGCAAGCCGGGAGATCTGAGAGTAGCTGGTGCCTGTCCCTGCGAACGTGGAGGTTTCCAGCTGGGCGGGGCTCGGGGAGGTGCGCTTCTCAAGCTGTGGCTGGTGTGCAGAGGAGCAGGCGACCCTGTCACAGATTCTCATCTGGGCACTGACCAGTATCCGCCACATCGTTTTGTAGGTAGGCCCCTTAATAACTGATTCTCTTATAACCGCATCGCCAGGTGAGGTGCCCTTTAGTATAGCTTTATGTACATTCCCTTTTGTTATTTGTTTGCTAATAAATCACTCTGTGTAATTTCTGCATTTTATTTTCCCTCTTATTGTAAAACATGGTTCATATAAAATAAAGCTACTTATTGTTAGCTTTTCATCATTTTTTCACAGACCAATATTTTTGTTTTTATTTTTCTCTATTATTTTTTTTGCATTACTACTGTAACTTTAAAGAATTAATACCATTTAATTACACAGTTGCCATGTAAGAAGCCCTCTTCACTAGATTTTTCTGAGGTCCAGTGTCTTTCAGGGGCTGGTTTCAGTGAAAAGTTAACTGTCTTCCAGTCCTGCATGCATCTAGTTATTGCCATTTCAATTCTATTCTAATAATATGAAAACATTTTTTCTGCTTCATCTGCATCATTTACTTAAGATTTGCAATCCGTTCTATCAGAAATTATTCTCCAGTACACCCATGCCCCCCCACACACACACAGAGTACTCAATAAACCTGACAAAATGAACCTATACAGTCTCTCTGGGTGACCTTGATTCTCTCCATTCTAGCCAGAGCCACCAAGCATTGGTAACTGTCAGATCTTTTTTGCTACCTGGGGTTCTCCCTTGAGCTAAAGATTCAAACGTTGGTGTGTAACCAGGTCTTCACTGGTCTTCACAGGTCCAGACATCACCTACATAGAGGCCTTCTCGGCATCCATTTCCTTCTTCTGTGGCCTAAGGAAGGATTCTGACTTTCCTGGGATGGGATTCCCATTTTTCCCAGAGTTCACGGGAGCCGTCCAAGTAGGTGGAGATTCCCTGTCCCCCAGCTCCAGAATCGGGCTTCTGATTACGTCCAGTCAGTGACGCCTATACCCCCATGACTGCTTCGGGAAAGGGCTTGGGCTGCCATGTGAACCAGAGAGGAGAGAGGGGCTTGGAAACCTCTGTCCTCTCCTCATGAGCACAAAGGGAAGCCAGCCTTGGTTGGGCACAGCTGAAGAAACGGTCCTCGAAGATATTGCTGGGCCACTGGATCAAACCAAACCTGAAGAGCCTCCAGCTTCTGGACTGTTCGGTTTCCTGAGCCATCCAATCACCCTTTGCTGTTGGATATTTGAGGTGGATTTTCTGTTCCAAGGTCTCTTAACTGATAACCTCACACTCCTTCACCCCATTGAGTTAATGAATCGGTAACGAGTCATTCTGCGTATCTCAGATCCATTCTGTCCACCTTGATGCTGTGTTTACTTTGGGCCACCCTCTTCTGGGCTTGGCACCAGCCTCCTGAGGGGGGCCTCCCAGCCTTCCTCACTGGAGCCGGAATCCGCTTTTGAAAGCAGTGCTTTTCTGAATGTCGGTCCTGACTCAGCAAGTTGTGATCCGTTAGTGGGTTGTGAAATCAGTTTTGTGGGTTATGACCTATATTTTATTTTTAGTAAAATGGTATAGAAAAGAACAGACTACATGAAAATATTAGAGTGCGTGCATGTAGCAGAGTGAGTTTTTCCTCATTTTTTGAGTTAGTTTGTACTGGCTCATGATATGAAATGGGGTATTACAATGGGTCCCAGGCAAAAAGTCTTGAAACCTCTCAGAGCACACATCTGACTGCACCGCCCTCCTGTTTAAAAATGTCTTGCTGCTTCTGTTTTTAACCTGGCGTTCAAGGCTCCTCCTGCTTTGTCCTGTCCATCATCCTTTCTCTCTGTTCCCTTGTCACCTACAAATTGGCACTGACCATCTACCTCTACAAGGATTAAATTATGAGCAAATGCAGCTGCTGATCTTCAACACCTCCTGACAGGAATTCAGGGCAGAGATCAGGAATGTGGCGCTCCGTACTCTAGGAAAAACTGGCAGAACAGTTCTTCAGATGGTTAGATATTTTCAGGAGAAGATTTTATGAGCCCACTTCTTGATTCTCCTCTTATGTAGAAAGGCACTAAAATCCCTCATGGTGACGTCTGCTCCTCGTGACGAGCAGAAACCTGCAAAAAATATGTGCTTGATTGCATGTCCTCCCCCTTCACCAGAGTCACGTCTGTACTGACCTCCCGCTACCTGTTCAGAGCAGTTTCTCCGAGCTATCTGACATGCTGCCTCCTCGGGTATTGTCCTCATTTTGCCCCCCAAGAAACTTAACTCGTAATTCTCAGGTTGTGCTTTTTCTTTTTTCAGTCGACACCACCTGCCCACCACACCATGGCCCAGTGGTTTTCAAAGCGTGGTGGGAACTTGGTAGCAATGCACATTCTCAGGAGTCCACCTACTCAGGACCTGCTGAAGCGGAAACCCTGGGAGTGAGACACAGGAAGCTGTGTGTTACCATGCCCTCCGTGTGATTCTGATAAAAGATAAAAACCTAACCATCATTTAGTTGATCTAAAAAGTAAGCAAGGTTTTTACCTACTTCCTTAAACATTGTATTTTGACCTACTGCCTGTCATGTATATCCACTTACTTTCCTCTGATGAGTCATGATCACACATATACATCTGCTCACTTTTTCCTGTGGGTCAGCTGAGGCGATACTCAGTGGCCCTCGCTGCCGGGCCATGACTTCTAGTTTCCCTTGCTTTCCTTCATGTGAACTTAAAAGCACTTGAGAAGCAATCAGCCAGTAGAGTCCTTTTGGAATTTTTTAAAATATTCTTTTACTCACAAATCTTTTACAGTGTCTCACATGTATCTAATTTGATCGCAGTTTTTGGGTTTTTTTTTTTGCGGTACGCGGGCCTCTCACTGTTGCGGCCTCTCCCATTGCGGAGCACAGGCTCCGGACGCGCAGGCCCAGCAGCCATGGCTCACGGGCCCAGCCACTCCGCAGCACGCGGGATCCTCCCGGACCGGGGCACGAACCCGCGTCCCCTGCATTGGCAGGTGGACTCTCAACCATTGCGCCACCAGGGAAGCCCTGATTACAATTTTTAAGTGGCTTTTGTTGACTTCAACTGAATTTTAATAGAAATGCCACTCTTCTTCTCCATGCACAAGTCAGCAGCCATATTTCACTAAATTTCATAACTATAATCGCAGGTTCAGATTTGCTAACACCATCACCGGTCATTTGAACAGCTAACTTGCTGAAAGCCAGTCATCCTAAAGGTCCGTTTGCTGAACTACTAATTTGCTGATTTTTGCCAAGTTTATTCACCAAAAACTTTAAAAACTAATAGTCGTGAATATTGTCGATGAATATTAATATATTTTTTATGAAAACATTCTCTTGGAATATATTGTTCAGCATCATTGTAGGACTTGTATCAATTTGTGGAAATAGGGCTTTTTAATCTTTGTATGCCTGGTTTTTAAAAATACCAGTGCATATATTCTTAAGAACATAAGCAGAATTTCAGCATTTCATATTGCATTTTTTTCCAGTTTATAGAATTTTCCAGAACACCTTTTTTGGGCCACATGTTAGTATTTAGAATTGTTTTGCCAGCCTCAGGAAGTTGTCAGATTTGCTGAAACGAATAGTTTTAGCTGCTGTTAAGTCAGTCTTTTATTCTGGGTGATGTGTGAGTTTCCTAGAGTCAACGTAACAAAGCATTACAACAAACCCATAGGCTGAAAACAATGGAAGTGTATTCTGCCCTCTGTGTGTGTGTCTCCAAATCTCCCTCTCCTTGTAAGGACACTAGTTATTTGGTTTGGGGCACACCCAAAGCCAGTCTGACCTCTTCACTTGATCGCATCTGTAAAGACACTTTCTGTATAAGGTCATTCCCAGGGGTTAGGACTTCAACTTATCTTTTTTTGGGGGGGGGGGGGGGGGCACTGCTCAACTCAGCAGGTGGGATGGTTTAACAGGCAGTTTTAGTTGACTGCTTTTCTTTCTCTTCACAAACAAATTTTAAAGACAGCATGGTTTGTCTCTGCTTAGCTTCGCAAGCTGCAGTTGGAGCAAAGCAAAGACGGGACCTGAGGGGAAAGGATAAGAGGTAGAGAGGGGACCTAGGAACCAAGGTGGTACTGGGGGGCTGAGAGGGGAGCAAGGGAGAAGAAAGAGGTGAATTGGGAGACAGATCGCAGGGTGGAGGAAGTGCCCCTGGAACCCTGGGATCCTGGCACAGCTGCCACCTTCCCACCACTCCAGCTCGTGGGGGAGGGCCTGGTCGTCAGGTGTTCTTATCCCTTTCCCCTGTTCCAAGGGGCAGTCTGTGTCGAGAACCCCAATCCCTGTGCCTCCAGAAAGCCCCTCCTCGCGCTCTCTCCAGGAAGCCACAACTGCTTCGGTGGCAGAAAGGCCTCATGCTCTTTCCCACCCTTGTGTTTTTGCACGTACTAGTCCAGTTCCCTGAAATGCGCTCTCTTCTGTTGAGAGAGCTCCTACTCATCCTCTGAAACCCCGCTTAGGACTCTTCTCCCATAAAGGTTTCCCCAGTGACCCCTCGGTCCAGACAGCTAACCCTTCTCTCCCAGTGACCCTCGGCACCTCCCTCGTCTTTTTCCCCAACAAAGCCATGAGCTCCTGCTCTGTGCCTTCCACAAACACTAACTGAACGGAAACGACCGGCTTTGGAGTCAGGCAGGGCTTGATCAAGTATTGGCCCTACCGTGTGCTAGCACGTGACCGTGGACAAGTTAATTTACTCCCTTGTGCCTCAGTGTCCTCAGGTCTCACGTGGGGCCTCTGCGCTCTTCCTGGGGGGCGTTGGGAGCTTTTAGTGCTATCTCCCCCGGGGAGGCTGACCTGCCGTCCTCTGCTTGACCACGAGATGGGTGTCCGAGGTGGAGACCGCCGGCCCAGGCTCAGCAAGCCGGTGTGAGCGTCTCCGCGGGGCACCGGGCGCCCCGGTGGGATAGCTATGCAATCAGCTTCGGGGGTTGCTGGTTGAGATAAGATGGTGTGTGGATCTCGGTACCCAGTGGCCCTAAGACCTTCAGCCAGCGTTGGTCCCCCCTCCCCCTGCTCTTCATCTTCCTAGATTCATCCCGGAGGCCCCAGAGGGGGAAGAGGAGGAGCCCGAGGGTCCCCTTAGGGAGCAGGACCTGAAGGAGGCCTGCATCGAGCTCGCCCAGGGTGTGCAGGAGTGGCAGGACGGCTGCGTCTACCGAGGAGAGTTCAGCAGGACATGAAGCTGGGATGCGGAGCATTCTCTCGGCCCACGGGCGAGGCAAGTCGTTCCTGGTGCTCTCCCCTCTCCGGCCCCGGTTCAGCCAGCCACGGCCTGTCCCTCTCCTTCGGAGAGGCACGTGCTGTGAGCTCATAGATCCACCGATGGGAAGGATGCTAGGCAAATGTCCTTCCTATTTGAGAAACACCCAGAGAGACTTCTGAGATCACGTCCGAGGTTCGCCTGGGTGTCCACAGGCTGCAGCTCGGGAAACTGACTTCAGAAGATAAGTTCTTATTCTAGGCAAATATTTTAAAATTGCGAATTACTGTCGTGAGTTGTATATTTGTATTGATGAAATTGCCTTGTATTTAAGCTCAAACAGAAAAAGTGGATCTTCCTAAAAGTGAAAGTGCACTTTTGCGCCCCTGCAGCAGGCGGTGTCAGGACCTCAGTGGGGACTCTGAGGGGCCCGTGGCAGGAGCTGTTGGCGCCACCTGGCGTCCCCGCGAGGGTGGAGCAGCCGTGCGTCTGGCGAACCTGGGGGTATGCTGTGGCCTGGGGGCTTAGTGCGCCTCCCCCAGGGGCAAGCTGGCTTCTGAAGGCTTCCCAACAATGTGCTGCAGGTGCGCTGGTGGAGGATTCTGCCCTGCTTGCAGGGTTGTGTGACTCAGTGGAGACTTAAGTGCATCTTTTGCTTGCAGATAATAAAAACCGTCTGGAGGCACTGTAGGGGTGTGTGCGTTTGGGGGGTTGGAAAAGCATCAGAGGGCAGGACACCTGGCACTGAAGCTCTTCTGGGAAGCAGGCGCTGGCTGGCACAACCTCCTAGGGGCTGTGTAGGGTTCCGGCTCTGCCCCTCTCTCTTCCAGGCTTGGTTCTGCCTGTGGGGCCCCGGTTCACCTGGTTTTGGCGCCCAAGGCTGGGGGACCTCGCCCAGCTCCTCACCTCCTGCACTTAGTCTCCCGAGTCCAGGGGAGAGCGGGGCAGGGAGGCGAGCGGGGGTCTTCGGATGGAACCTGGGGAGCGGTGGGGGCAGGGAGGGGACAGCAGGAGCAGCGGCAGGCAGAGGCGGAGCTTCTGGGCCCCCAGCCCAGTCCCCCTGGAGTGCGCCCCCAGCACGGAGGAGCCTCCAGACCTCACGTGAGGACAGAGGCCGCGACCCGAGCCCGTGCTGAGCTTCTGCCAAAGAATGCACGGCATCGTGACCCCGATGACCAAGCGCTGATTTTTGTTCAGCATCTGTTTCTTTAGTCCTTGGCTACTTCCTCTTTTACCCAACACTGTGGTGTCCAGTGGTCAGACAGCCTGTGTTCCCAGCCGTGGTAGGTTGGGGCCCACTGACCGGCCCTCCTGGCCCCGGGTCCTCGCCGTGCAGGGGGACCACAGCAGGTGGAGCCTCGGCTTTGTCACTGCCTGGGGGGACGTCTGGGTCCACTGAGCAGGTGCTCCTGCAGCCATGGCGGCTCCTGAACCAGAGAGGCCAGGAGGACGAGAGGGCGTGCAGGCCGAGAGCAGCGGCTTTAAACGTGTCAGCTGTCTTTGAGGAACGGGCCCAAGCGCATCAGTCCGGCTGGTCAGATGAGGCTCCGGCACCGTGTGGAGGAAGGATGGAGAGGTTCCTCCAAAGCTGCACCCTCCTGGGAGTGGACAGAAACCCTCTCTCCTGCAGGCGAACCGACGAGCCCCCGGGGGGGTGGATTCTCCTCACAGTTCTACACAAATGGTCTGCAACGTGGGACTTCTTTTCAGTTGGATAGACTCTGATAGGCCCCCCCAAATCATACAAATGGAATGAAGGTGGGCATCAGATGGGCTGTGCCCCGCCCGGCGCCTCACTGCTCATTGTGTCCCTGCACTGGTCAGGAGTAGTAACTGGCAGGACCAGGTCCCCCCACATGGGACTGGAAAGGACCCTTGTAGGCTGCTGTAACTGCAAAGTCCACCTTCAGGGCTCACGCAGCCTCAGGCTTGGCTGGGTCCAGGGGTTCCAGTGACTCTATCAGGCCCTCTCTCTCCCATCTCCATGTGGACAGCCAAGTTTGACCTTCTGCCATGAGGCAGAAGGGGGTGGTGTCGGTGTCACACCTTCCTGCAAGAGAGAAAGGGCCCCAGTGGACACTGGTGAGGCTCGGGGACGCGTCCCGTGGCCAGACGCAAATCGAGGCTGGAGGCGGGCTTGGGAGCCTTCGCTGGGCCAGGCCTGGTCACGTGTGCCAGGGGCTGGGCTCAGTCCTCCGTCCACCTGCGGGGACTCGTGTCCATCACCAGAGGAAGAGAAGGGGCGCTAAGCAGGCTGCAGTCACCGTCCCTCAGGCGCAGGGTGGCCTGTGAGCACGGCCGCCGGCCGCCTGAGAGCCCAGCCGCCTGCTTCTGGTGGGGAAGGCGGCTGTCTGACTCGCGTGAGAGTCAAGTCTAGTGACTGAAAAGTGCTCGGAATGGACATGGCGCTCTGATTTCCTCCTGGGGCCCCAGTAGAGGGGCACCTGCACCACACTCACCCCCCCGCCCGGGGCTCGGGACCCGAGCACAGACGGCCCACGTCCATGGCCTCAGGAGCGAGCAGTCTTAAGTTAGGGCCACGCCAGCGACCCCGGGGCTAGCGGCCCCCCACTCTCTGGGCCAGCCTGCTGACGTGGACCTGAGCGGGGGTGACGGGGTGAGAGCGGAGCCCGGCGTGGGGCTCCCGAGTGGAGACAGCTCCCGCCCAAACCCAGGCAGTGCCGACACCTCCCCAGACTCCCCCGCCTGAGCCGGGCAGGAGGGAGCGTGGCCATCGGGGGGCCGAGCGCCTGGCACCCGCTATGCGTGATTCGGGTGACCCCTGGCACTTGAGGGGGGCCTGCTGGCCCGGCCCCCTGTGAGCCCAGTCAGCCCCGCAGCCCCTGTTCACTGTGGCCCAGGCCTGGAGGCTCAGCTGGGAGGGCGTTCTGGAAGGTTCTGGGGCGGTGCAGGGCGGCTCCTCCAGCAGCCGCTGCGGAGCTCTCTGTTCACAGTCCTGCCACGGGCAGCTCTGCCGGGACCACTGCCACGGCCTGGGCACGTGCGTGTGGCCGGATGGCTCCAGCTGCATGGGCACGCTTTACCTCAGCGCCTGAGAGGGCTACGGCACCACATACCTGAAGACGAGGCTCTTCCAGGTGAGGGGATGGCCCTGGTGTTCAGGCCACCGGACAGCAGCACAGGTGCTCCTGGGGAAGATTGTTTGTTTGACGAGAAGTAGCTTTCTTGGTCTTAGTGAGTATAATAGTATCGTCATAAGGCACAGTCGTAAGATGCGTGAAAAGAAAATGAAAACAACAGGAGAAAAAATGAAAGCTGGTCGCTGTTCTGCTCCCCGGAGCAGGGACGGGCTAGCAGCACGTTGTGTATCCTTAGGTTAAACAGTAGACTCACCGAAGATATTTACCTCTTTACACATAAACTGGCTCAGGCTACACTTACTGTTTTGAGACTTGCCCTTTTTCCTGGAGAAGATTCCTGGTTTTGCAAATAGAGACACCTCCCCCGCCCCCATCTTACTCATTCCAGGAAAAGCCCCGCTTCAGCACACAGAGCTGGAAGCTCTGACAGCATAGAGCTGTGTGACAACCACCACAGTCAAGGTGCGGAACAGTCCCAGCAGCCCCGGAACGTCACCCGTGTGCCCTTGGAGCAGCTCTGTCCTCCCACCCCCAGCACCCAGCCGTTGCGTTTTTGCCTATAATTTTGCCAGGTCATAAGACTGTCATGTGTCTTCTTCTGCGTTTATGGTTTTAGCTCTTACCTGTAGGTCTGTGTTTGAGTTAATTTTTGTGTTTTTGTGTGAAGTAAGGCTCCCTCCTCCTCCTCCACGTGTGGACGTCCAAGTGTTCCAACTCCATCTGCTGAAAAGACTCACTTCTCCACCGCCTAGCCTTTGCGTCTTTGTGAAAAATCACATCTGGAAACTATAAAGCATCAGTGAATGTAAGGGATGATTATTGTTCATGGTTGGCTTTTTTTTTTTTTTTTGAGTTGTAGGAAAACTTAGCAATTGCCTGATCCTTGGATTCTGAACCTGGGCACCCTGGATGGGAGGCGCATATTCCCAAACTCCCTGAAATTGTGTGCAAAAATTAGTGGGAATGGGCATTTTAGGGGAATGAGGATCCATCGCCAGCAAGTTTTCAGAGGGGGCTGTGACCCAGGACAGTTAAGAACCACAATTCCTTTGCCACGAGGAGGAAACTGAGGCCTAGATGTCATTTGGGACCCGTCGCAGCCAATTTGAAATCTCTGTTGAATCCCTGGGATATGTGAGCTGTTCTCTGCATATTCAGGGTAACGACACTCCACTGTTTGGCTTCTATTCTGAGTCTTTTCCCCATGGGTCGCCTGAGGGGTGGTTGACGCACATGGTACGGTGGCCCCCAATATAAAGGAGCTGAAAGAAGGAGCGGATGTGTTCTCTAGGATCACGAAGCCTGTTTAATCTTTGGGCCAACAGCTTATGTTCTGGTGCCTGACTACCTTCCTGACTGTCTCACTGACCATTTTCCACGACCACCGTTGCCATCGTTCCTCCTGTTTTGTATTCTTAGTTTGTGTGGTTGGCAGTGAGCAGGCTTAGTTTTAAATGGTGCTGCCAAGTCCAGCTAATTAATGGTGCAGGTGGGTTTTAGCAAGCTGGCTGACTGGGCAAACTGAGCCAGGCATGGAATTCCTGAAGATGTTTGGGGGTTCGTCTTTATTAATCGAAGGTTAACATTCTCTGACAACTTTTGTTAGAACTTCTGCTGAACCTCAAGATCAGTAGGTTGCAAGTGTTTCAAACCTTCACTTTTTCCCGGCCTGCTTTGTGTATTCGCTTTGCTTGCAAGTGTGTTTACTCAGATGGCCAAAAGGCCCGTCCGTGCTTCTTTGTTCATTGTCAGCTGCTTTTATCAAATTCCAGGCCATTATCCAGCAAACACTAGAGAAATTTGAACACTTGGATTTCAAACATTTTTTTCAGTTTGTGGAGTGGTGCTACCAGTGGTACCGTTCTAAGCAAGCAGGCACAAAGCCACGTAAGTGTTTTGTCTGTTTAGGTATTAGCCGGTTCTGCTCTTTCATACAAACATCTGGAAAAAATCCATTGACTGTTCTCTTTACCTAGAGGGCGGAGACAAAGGATTTCGGTTCCAGAGAAGTGACTGTTTTGGAGAAAAATGTGTTGGTCTTTTAGCTCCTTTGTAATTAAATCTGGATGTACCTCAGAAGAATCTTAAGACTGTGTTGATAAGATGCTTTCCTCAGGAGAAAGGAGGAAAAAAGCAACTGGAACTCAAAGCTTGAAGTTCTGTGACAAAACATGAGCTGTCCAGGATAGGAGGTTGACAGGGTTTCACTACAGCGCTCTGCTCTCGCTGGAACAGATGTCCTTCAGTGTAGTCACGGCGTGGACTCCAGATTTCCAGATTTTCAAGAACTGGATCAGGGACCTGGAAGAGATTATCAAAGTGTGACGGGAACTTGGGAGCTGGATTTTTTTATATTTGAATTTGGGGACTGTTGTCCTTGCTTTGAGAAAAGAGACAATGACAGCAAGCACTGCCGCCAGCGCTGTTACTGGGAATTCGGAGACCTGAGTTTTCGCCAGACGCTCAGTGCAGACTCTGGCGATGCTCCGCCCAAGGTGAACTCCGCCTGCAGATGTGGCCCCTGGACTTTCGCCCATGGTGATTCTGCCACCTTACTACTGAAGAAGGCGTCATTCCAGTGGACCACGTGACCCAGGAGGCATCCAGCGAATCATGATGTGGCCTTCACCTCCACTCCCGTCCTGTTCTCCCCGGATCCAGCACAGCCCTTTGCAGGGAAGTCAACTCCTCAAGCCAAATAGCTGAAGCTATTTTATCAACAAAGGCTCCATTTCTTCCATGAGCGTGCGTTTTGTTTCTTCAGTTAAAGCCTCAGAGACACACAATACATTTGGGCCAGGGGATGTTTAGTTGTCAGCGCTGTCTGAAGAATGGCAGCGTCTTTTTGAGAACCACATCGGACCATGCCCCACTATCTTAAAAGACTGAAATTCAGGCAATATCTAACCTGCACCCCATTCTTTTCCCGTGTCAGATCTGTAGTAGCCTGCTGAATGAGTAAGCAGATGTTCTGACCCACTGGGATTAAAAGAAGGGCACAGTGAACTCCCAGCATCTTCTTTGAGATTACTCAGGAACCAGAACTTTTCACACAAATGGAAGAAATTCTACCAAGGAATCCGTTTACCTAACAGCATCTCACAAAGCTCCAATCAGATTCCAGAAAACGCCTCTTGATACATCCAGCGCTTTGTGAACAACTTATTTTTGTTGTTAAACCAATTAGATCGTGGGTTTTCCAAAGTCTTTGTGGCCATGAAGCCCTTCAAGTGAAAACTTTATGGAAGCCCAGAGTAAAAGTGAAGCTGCTCTGGAGGAAGCAGAAGTGGGGGCCTACAACCTGCCACAAGCATCTTACTTTACCACCATGGTGACATCTAAGGAGACTTCTTTACAGCAACTAGAATTCTTCAGAACACAGTTTGAAAACCACTGCCCTAGACAACAGTATGTTCGACCTGAATGGCATTCTGTCCTGTACCTGTACCCAGCACCGTCCATGTTCAGTTGATGCTGAACATTCTTAGGAATAGTTACCGTGGGCAAACTCAGAAAAGTGCAGGAAGATGGGCATACCTTTGCCCCCCAGAGTAGTCATATGGGCTGAAGAGGTGGTATCAAATGGACCTAGAGTAATAGCCCTCTACCCACAGATGGACTGCCAGTGATTCCTGGATTTGATATAGCCAGAGAGCAATTCATCTATACTCTACACTGACAAACCCCCTTACCCAGCTTCTTTCACAAACGCCAGAGGCTCTAGTGGTGCTTGAAACACATGACCTTGAAGTCTTGATCCTTCTTGGATACGTGAATCACCAGGTATTGGAGCTGACGTTGATGCTGATGTCTCATTGAAGCCATATTAGACCAACTGTACGTTGGACCTCCCGTCCTCAGCCATGGTACTCTACTTCGTGTGCAAGGGTTAACCATAAACTATGAAAGCAGAATTCAAAGACTGGCAACATTACCTGAAAGGGTACCAGGTCATTATTCATCTTCTCAAACTATGTCACTATCACTCCACCAGTGGCAGTTACACTTCTTGGTTTTTATTCAGTTTAACTGCTGTTTCCAGGGTGAATGAGCTAATAACGGTTGAAAAATCGCTAAAACATTTCCTCCATCACTGGCATATCTGCCTATTCTCCAAAATTATGAATACTCAGCTCTACCTACATGTAATACCTGAGCCACAAGAGACAATCTCTGAACATCCTTTCTCGTGTGTGTGATTTAAAATGTGGCCATTTCGAACATTTTCTTCCAGCCAATGAGAGATTTTAAGATGGATCTTTTGATGTCTGGTGCCATTAACTGTTGGTGTTAATGATGTTTGGAGGTAGGCCTTTTGACCAGGCCGTGGTAGCTTACTTGGGGGGCATCTCACATTGCGTATCATCTGCCTTTTTGCTGGAAATGGAGACTGACTTGAAATCTACAAAGCCTGCAGCTAAACATTTTATCAGTACTCACGAGCTTCCTGCTGGTGCTTCCTAATGTCACAAGACCGCAGTCCCCTGTCCTTGTGGATGTTTTCATGGAATTTCATCTGTCTCAGTGCTGTGAATCAGAGTGGCTGACTTCATTCCTTGTCATGGAATACTCTCAGGCATGAAGACAGCTTACCTGTTCAGAAGGGATCTGACTCACGAACTCCCAGACCAGGTCACGCAGACTTCGATTTGTGCCACGGGAAAAGCCACGCTGCTTTACTTCAGTGTCGACTTGAGGACCCGCTGTCCTCAGCTGCTTCAATGAATGCGCTGGTTAAATGTCGGAAATGCTTCTTTACGTCTTCGTCTCTTATCTTCTAGGCTAATTGTGATTCTATGACTCTGTATAAATCAGTCTATAAATCACCAAACAAGGCCTAAGTCTGGTTACTCTGTACTGCTCACCCTCAACAAATAAAATCTGATGACTAGCCTGCTTGTATATACAACTGTTATTTGTAATGAAGAAGTTATCTACAAGCTCAGTTCTTCTACTGCCTTCAAAGTGTCAGCTCGATTTTCTTTTTCTCCTATACTTGACCGATAGAGACCTTGATCTACACTGGCAGTCATTCCCTGTAATCCTGTCAAAATGAGGGACGAAAGGTAAAGACGATCGTCTGTTCAAGAGTGTGAAGTACACTGTGTATAAGAATTGATGGTGGAAAAAGCGTAAACTTCCAACCTAGTATCTTACTATCTCCACGCCTCAGATCTCATCTTTCAGCAGTACCATTCAACCAGTCTGAGGCCTTCACTTGTTGATGAGATGATTCTCAGAGTTGGGCTGAGTTACAGAAGATGGAGACTTGATTACCAAAGAAAGTAGGGCCAACCTTTCTCTCCCAACCCTATCGCTCCCAGATATAGAATGGGCTTCTAAACAGAGCCGCAAGTCTGGATTAAGGAGATAGCCTTCTCCTGCGCTGAAGGTTCTTGGGCAGATGAGCAGGAAAATGAAAGTTGCTGTACCTGACTGGCCCTTTAAGATCCAGTTAATCCATAAACCCTGTGGACTAACCCTGGAGTACTCAGGGTTGAAACTAATGTACAGAGCTCTGATATTAAACTGCCTGTTCTTCTAGCTCATGGGCTGCCTATTGACATGGCTGGCCCTGCTGAAAGTACCTTACCTACTTGCCTGTTTACCTGACTCAGCCCTTGCCTGCTTTTTTGACATGGCTGCAATCAGACTGGCTGTCTTGAGAAGACTACAGCTGATCTCGGTCTTTCTTATACCCGGTTCCACCAAGGGGTTCTGAACAGAGCAGTCTGCACCTCACCCACCAGGACTTAATGTTCACAACACGAAGGACTGTGCTGTATACTCCTTGACCAGCAGCTTTTTTTTTTTTTAACTGCCGAGTAAGCCTCTATGCCTATATATATTAGATCATCTTCAGCACTTGGGACTCTTTCCACCAGATCTGAAGGAGTAGAGCAGATTGAAATCACTGTCCATTCCTCTCTTCTACAGTAATACAGAGATGAATCTGATTTGCCAGTACTCACAGAAATGTACCAGTTCAACTTGGCAAAAGCCTTAAAGGAACATAAGAGGACTTTCCCGCTGAGCTTAAAATTTACCCCTGACTTGATGAGTATCACAGAACCATTTGCCAGTGGGAGGCTGGTTGTCCTGCTGCCTGTCAGCAAGACAGTTGGGCTCTCAAACTCATGACCACTGAGTTTACTTACACTGGAACTGTATAGTATCTCCCAGAATATGCTATTGGACGTGATTATTACATTCAAGTGGATTACAAGCCTCCTGAGTAGAAGACAAACTTGCTCCTTGTGATTTTTTCCAGATACATTTATTGTCAAGGGAGGAACCAATGCCAGCTGTTACCATTCAACTCTATGAGCAGACATGAAACTTTTTCAATATCTGGTCTTCCCAGTGACCAGATCAATCAGCACAGTCCATCTCCTTGACCATAGTGATTGGTTCAGGAATGGTCATGTAATTCAAGTTGGTCCAGTGATACCCAACCCTGAGAGGTTTAGTGAACTGTGGAGGAGAAGCTCAGAAGCTCTGCTAAGTTTGCCTAGCTCTGTAGGATGAAAAGCTCAAACCATATCTAATGAACCACTCAAAGAATGAAGCCAGTACAGAGGAAAGCAGAGCCAAATGATGGAGAGACTTGGGTCCTGATGACAAGGTTTGTGCCCCTGGATCCAGCCATGCCTGAAGCTAGTATATCCCCTGGACTTTTCAGTTATGTGAACCAATAAATACCCCTCTTTGCTTTTTTTAAAAAAAAAATCCTTCATCAACTCTTCGGTGACCTTGAGGTAGTTTGTCCAAGAAAGGCAAGATAACATGATCTTTCCCCTTTCTTTATTTCAGAATAATACATTGATTTCCTAACAGATTTCAATGGTGGTCAGTGGGGGTTAGGTTTTTTTTAGTATCTTTGTCAACTCCTGGATGTTAATATGTGTGACATGTTTCTGTCCATTGCAGTCATTATGCTTTTTGATGCCCAGGGCCCGTCTGTGGTCAGGGAGAGCCTCTTTAGTTTAGTTCTTGCAATTCTGACTCAACACCAGCATGCTTTGGTAGCTTTCTTGCCCCCTGCTCTGCAAGGAGTTCCGGGCTCATTCAGACACTTCCTGCCCTGCACCCGGGGTCGACTGCTTACACGTTGAGCCTGGCTCCTTTAGTGGGACGTGATAGTTAGAAACCACGATCTGTGTGCTCATCACTACTGCATTGGTTGGTTATTATTTTTAGGCCTTTTCAATAGCAGATCTGGAAAACACACCTGGAAAAAAGTTTTTTTCATGGATTATTTATAACATTTTTTCTTTTCTTTTTAAAAACATTTAAAATCGAATGATTTTTTAAATTCCATAGTGCTTTACAATTTTCAGAAGTTTCACACACGTGATTTCATATAATCCCACCATAACCCTTTTTTTGGTCCCCTACCCCTATATTGCCCCAGCCCCCTCTACCCACTGGTAACCACTAGTTTGTTCTCTGTACCTGTGAGTCTGCTGCTGCTAGGTCATAAACCCACAAAACTCTTAATAAATTTGTAGGGATAGAAATAATACAAATTATGTACTCTGGCCACAGTGGAGTGAAATTAGAAATGAATAACAGAAAGAAGTTTGGGGAAATCACATAAAACAACACACTCCTAAATAACCAGGGGGTCAAAGAAGAAATCAAAAGGGAAATTAGAAAATGCTTTGATATGAATGCACAAGAAGACACAACTTACCAAAACTTATGGAATGCAGCTAAAGCCGTGATTATAGGGAAGTTTATAGCTGTAAATGCCTATATTAAAAAGAAAAAAAGTCTCAATCAGTAACCTAACCTTCCTCCTTAAAACATTGGTGGAAGAAGAGCACACTAACCTAAAGTAAGCTCGTTAGCAGCCAGATAAACGTGTGTCTGTTAGAGCAAACATTCATGAGACAGAGAACAGAAAATCAATAAATCCAAAAGGTGGTTCACTGAAAAAAATCAGCAAAACTGACATATCTGGCTGCACTGACCAGGAAAAAGTGAAGACCCAAATTACTAAAATCAGAAGTAAAAGAGGGGACATTACTACCAAACTAACAGAAATGAAAAAGATTATGAGAGAACACTGTGAACAATTTTATGACAAAAATTGGATCACGGAGATGAAATGGACAAATTGCTGAAAACACATGATCTACCACAACTGATTAAAGAGGAAATAAAAAATCTACACAGACTTACAGCAACTAAAAAGATTGAATAAGTAATAAAAAAAAACTCCCAACAAAGAAAAGCCCAGGCACAGATGGCTGGTAAATTATACCAAACATTTAAAGCAGAATTAACACCAGTCCTTTTCAAATTCTTTCAAAAATTAAAGGGGACACTTCCTAACTTATTTTATGAAGCCAGCATTACTCTGATTCCAAAGCCGGACAATGACATTATGAGAAAACTACAGACAAATATCCTTTATGAATATAAATGCAAAAAGCTTCAACAAAATACTAGCAAACGAAATTCAGCATCATGTCAAAAGAACTATTGAATATCTGACATGACCAAGTGGGATTTACTCCAGAAATGCAAGGGTGGTTAAACAACAAAATAATAAATGTAATACACCATATTATTAGAAATGAAAGAAAAAACTATTTCAATTGATGTAGAAAAAACATTTGATGAAAACATATGTCCACACAGAGATTTATAGCAGCATGATTCATAAAAGCCAAAGAATGGAAACCACCCAAGTATCCATCAGTTGATGAATGGATAAACAAATTGTGGTCTACCATACCATGGAGTATTATTCATCCATAAAAAGGAATGTAGCACTGAGACACGCTACAACATGGATGAACTTGAAAACATTATAGTAAGCAAAATAATCTAGTCGTGAAAGACCACATATTATATGATTCCATTTATATGAAATGTCCAGACAGGAAAATACACAGAGACAAAGTAGATGAGTGGCTGCTTAGAGATGGAGGGGTAGGGGAATCGGGCATAAAAGCTGTCGGGCTGGGAACCGTTTTGGAGGATGAAAATGTTCTAAAATTGATTGTGGTGATGGTTGCGCGGCTGTGAATGTACTAAAAGCCACTGGATTGTGAATATTTAAATGGGGGTATTGGATGGAATAGGAATTAGGTCTCAACAGAGCTGTTCACACAAGAGTCCCAGCGTTCTAACAGACATGCCCTCTTGTCACTTCCGTTTCCTTTTAAAGAGGTGATGTGTGACACCGAGAAGCCATCAGACCCACTTTTAAGTTCTGCTTTATTGTCAGCCCTCCCAGAAGCGTCGCCCTGGTGCCACGTGGTCTTCAGGACGGTGGCTTTGGCCCTGCACACTTCGTCACACAGCTGGCTTCCTGACCCACGTCCTAGTCCCCAGAGCAGCATGGGGAGTGGCTCTGGGTGCTGGTGGGCGTGGCGGTTGACGGGGATGAGGGGCTCCCACCTTCTCTACTCTTCTCTACTCGCCAGCAGGTGTTTCTTTGTGAAGTTCTGCATCTTCAGGGGTGCTGGCGAAGCGGAGGCTAGGCGACCTTTCTTGGGAGGACTGTGCGTTGCTTAAGGGCAGAAGGTGGAGGGACGTGGTTGACCCTCTGATGATTATTGTGGGGGGCTCGCTGCCCTCCTGCCCCCCAGCCCACTGTGCCTCCTGCCACCAGTGGCCAGAGAGCAGAGCCAAGAGTCTCCCCTCCAGAGAGGGGTGTGAGCCGCCAGGCAAGGCCGGAGAGAACCTGGTGCTGCCCGGTGGCCTTTCAAGGCGTGGTGAGCGGACACAGAGCCGGGGCTGGAGGCTGCAGGTCCGAGGGCCCGGATGCAGGAGCAGAGGGACGCCGCCAAGACGGAGCCCCACTCTGCGCCCTCAGACCTGCTTGGGGGCTGTCCAAGGCTTGGGGCGCCTGCCTGCCTTGCCGCACAGCCAGGGGTGGGCCCACCACAGGAGGGTGGTCGAGGTGGGCAGCTCAGAGCCCCCTCTGCGTGTGGCGTCACGCGTGACCAGGAGAGCCCGTGGGGGCTAACGCGGTCTCTCGGTGCAACGGAGCTGGCCCCCTGTCGCCGGCTGAAGCGGAAGGGCACCGCCTGCCCGAGGGCCTGGGCTTGGACGAGCAGCGAGTGGCTGAGGGTGGCGGTGGGCTGGGTGTGCTGCCAGGCCGGTCCCGACCTGCGCTGCCCCAGACAGCACGGCTCTCGAGTGGCCTGGCCCTGCTGCGGGCGGTGGGCATCCTGGACGGCGCCCGCCCACTAAACCCTGGTGGACGGGGCTGGGGTGGGGCGTGGGGGAGGCACACCCACCGGACTCACTGTTCCCTGAGGCAGGTGCCAGGCCCACTCCCGAGGCGCGCCCGCTAGGAGTCTGCTCCCCCCACCGCAGACTCCTCCCCACTCCCACGCCGTGATGCGGGTCCCCAAATGGTGTGGTGTCGTCTCCTGCCCAGTCGGGCCGGCCAGCACCCGGATGGCTTCCAGGGCACGGGGCTTGTTTCCTGTTCCCAGTAGCATCGCACTGGACACAGGGCAGGCCCCGGGGCTCAGGGCCTCGGGCACAGGTGACGGGTGCCTCCCGACGGCCCACGTGGCTCCCCTGCAGGGTTCCCTTCTTCAAGTTCTGCTACGAGTGTGGCCGCTCCACTGGGGTGCGCCTCGCACCCTGCACCCGCTGCTACGGGATCCTGACCTGCAGCAAATACTGCAAGACCAAAGCCTGGACCGACTTCCGCAAGGATTGCCACTCGCTGATGGCCATCGGTGAGTCCAGGTGTCGGGCCGGGCTGCTCCCAGGACACAGGCACCGGCCTGCAGGGTGGCCGGGCAAGTATCCCCCATCATCCTCTGAAATTGCTCAAATTCAAGCCACTCTGCAGAATTCCCAGATGGGTCTGTGCGGGGACAGGGAGGGCACTGTCCCCGTGTAAGGTGGCGACGCCACGCTCAGTGTGCCCGTGGCTCCCTGGAGGTGTGACGTGACACCGGGGGCTCCGCTGGACACCTGGGGGCTCTGCTGACACCGGAAGGCCCTGGTAGACAATGGCTTCCCCGGACTGCAGGGCACTTGGCCTTGGGGCTGCTTCTGGAAGTTTTCTCCTAACCCGCTCTCCCGGGTGTCTGTCGCAGCAGGAGTCTGCTTCTAGAAGCACCCTCCTCTCCCACCCTCCCCACCCCACTCTGGTGGGCTGCGAGGGGAGCTGAGGGTGCGTGGGTAGTGACTCTCCGCTGGCCCTGTGCTCCCGGTGAGGCGGGTGGCGAGCGGAGCTGTGTGCAGACTGTCCCCTGGGACGTGGCCAGGAGGCCGGGGCCTGCTGGGGGCCAGGGAGGGGGGCAGGTGTTGCCTGTACTTTCTCAGGGCCTGCTCTGGGAGCAGCAGCCGCCGGCCCTCGAGGGCGTGCGGGCCCCCGGGGGACGGCCCGGGCCCCTCACCTTCTCCTCCTCCCTGCCGGTTCCTTGTGCAGGGGCCACCGGAAGGACGAGGACTGGAGGGTGGAAGGATCTCAGTGGCGGAGCCGCACCTGGTGCCGAGGCTGCTTCCACTGGGAGGGCCGGGCTGCCTGTTCTCACCTGCTGGCAGCTGCCCCTTGGGGTCGCTTCTGGGCTCCTGGCCCCGAGGAATCGAGGGCGGGGGGTCTGCGCCTGTAGGGCTGTGCGTAGCAAGGTCTCCCTCCTGACCCCCAATAAAGCGGCGCCCCCTGGGGGTGTTTTTAACCCTCTCTGCCCCTACCCGGGCCAGGGGCTCCCCGTCTGTGCTGGCGAGCTC